CGATGCTGACATATTGCATAGGAGACTTGAAATTTGTGCCCTTCTTTAGAGCGACAGCCCTGCTCCTCCCGGCACAAAAAGCAGAAAATGACTGTGTGCATGAGTTTGACCTTTATGGTTCTTGTCGCGCCTCCTTCTTTTACCACCGTGCACATTAATGCTGTATTCCAATGGCGGAGCCAGAGGAGGTTTTTCTGCTCCTTTTGGAACAAGTGGGTTCCAATGGCAGTGTGTGGGCGGGAGTCGAGTGTTCCTGTGCGTGAGTCGCAGTGGATTCAGAGTGAGAGTGACTCCGCGGAGCAAGAAAAGTTGCTATGCCGAAATCGGTGGAGTGAACCGGAACTCGGCGTGACCCGCTCCCTTTGACACGTTCGCCGTCTTGGTGGCACCGCCGCTGTCGACTGTCGCTTGTTTAGCGACAGCTCCGAGTCAGAAAGCTCCAGTTCCTGCACGAGCACTTCGTCGGATGGTGTCGCCGGCATTGAAACTATTATACGCACAAGCGGTAATTCAACAAAATTTAACAGTGGTGTTAGTGAATACCTACGTGCAAGCTTTTCAGGGCAGCTATATTGGACTTCCGCTTCCTCCTTGCATGTTTGCTCCCAGTGGCGCAGGATTGTGCTCCAATCGCATTCGGAAGCATAGGCTGCACGCCAGAGTGAAGTGCTCGCCCAGAGTCTATCGACCGCTCCCACTCTACCATTAGGAATTCAACACAAGTATCAAACCGTATTATATTTTATTAGGTATTCAAGCAGAAAAACAAATAGCAGGGTCGAAACGAGGGCACTTAGCCTAGTTTTTCATCCTGCTGACATATCTTTTTTTTACGTCGTCCTGACGAATGTACCACAGAGCTATCTTTTTCTTCTCCGTCAGTGTACTGTTCGTGTGCCGCCACCTTTTTCTCGTTCTCTGCGCCGAACGCTGCTTTCCATTGCCTCCGAGATCAGAGGCACTTCACCTGGTTTCGCACTTTCGCATTTTGTAGGCCAGCACTCAGCGACGGAAATTGCCTAAGGCATGATGACGACTGGTGCGTGAAATCACAAGTGGGACATTCTCCTGCGCAGGTACTTCTCGCCGAAGCGGAGGTACGCGCTGAAGCTCCTTCCCACGGCGTACTGCTCGGAGATCATTTTCTCCGCTGTCTACGTGAACATTGGGAAGAAAACAACCGTGGATCACAAGCGCCCGATTGACGTCGAGATCCTCAAGGATCTCATACACCTCAAACAGACGCGCACGCATCGAGGCGACAAGCTTCGGCTTCACGTCACCCTGGGAGGGGAGCGAAAGGATTCTCCGAACTTTGTGGAGACCCTGGAAAAATACCAAGTCCGCGACGCTGTCGTAGAAGGGCTGTACAAGTTCAGTAACCTCATCGACGTGAGTACATGTCTTGTGCCTCAGCAAGCTCTAGCTCAAAGAGTCTAATTAGATTCGTGTATGTCCACACTGTCTTATTATCCTCCGTGATTACTTTCTCAATTTGTTTAGTGGCTATTTCAATTTGCATTTCTGGATAAAAATTTTCCTGTAGTTGCTCATCTTGTCTCCTTCACACTTTTACTGCTCTTCCAAAACTTAGCTTGATACGTTTGTGATCACTACCCAGACTTCGGGAGCCACTTCTGTGTGTGTGTGGCTAAACTTACCGCAAGAACACACGCTTCGGAACAGCGTTTCCACATTGAAAGGGTATGGCGCAAAGTTTCTTCTCAGCAGCCCCCCCCCCCCCCCCCTTCTCGGTTGGCAGTGTCCGAACGGCGAAATGTCTGACGGTGGAGGCGATATATGGAAATGACGCATTGGTCTGCTTCTCTCAATGGCTCATTTTTGACCCCTGCTTTCTGAGAGTAAAGATGGATAAGTAAACGGTTCTAGGAGTGCAAGAGTGTCGTTCAGTTGCAATTATTGCGAAAAACCTGCGGGGCCACAACCAGGGTTGCCGTTAGGTGGAATCGAAAAGGCGCCATAACTCAAGCGAAATGCAGCCAAAGTAGCCATGCCGTGTAATATTATCGCCAAATTTGTAGCTAATTAGAAGAAGAGGGGTATTGTGAACAGAGACTTAACCATTGAAGAATAAATAAAATCATTTCGATTTAGTTCACCGGAAATTCAAAAGCAACCAATAAACAGCCATGGCGCCTACTGGAAATTTTGGTCGCCGTACGGGTAGAAAAGTAGCCAATTTCGCGCCAAGTGTCCACAAACACCAACCCTGACCACAACACTGCCCTTTACACGATAACAGGACAATCACTGCCGAGTAAAGTTTTTGGGCAGATTTTAGATGCTATATGGTTACGAGGAACACCATAGTTCAAAGGCTTTGGGAATTCGGACCACCTGGAGTTTTTCAACGTACACCTAAATCTGAGTTCACTGGCCTCTAGCATCTCGCTTCCATCAATATGTGACCACCATGGCTGGGATTCGATTTCGCAGCCTTTTGGTCCACATTCAGGTGCCATAACTATAGGAAACCACCTCGTCTAGCGTGGCTATCACACTGCCAAAGCACTTTATCTGATTGAACGTTCTGTATACAAACAACTTATTCAACAAATAAACAAGTTAAGTCGAAAGCCCTTTCTATGGCATCTTGTTCTTTATCTTTCTGTGGCGTGTGATGTAGGGTGTGAACGTTCACTGGGACCGTCCGGGCGATCAGTGTGACCAGGAATTCACGCCGGCCTACTTTCGCGCCTTTTTGGAGGCGCTGTATTTGAGGGACATGAGCATCATTCTCACCGTACCACCTGTGCTGGGACTAGCGCGGAAGTTCTGGCTGATGAGCGTGACCCGATATGTGGACTACGTCATCGTGACGACGCACTTGCTTCGTCGACAGGTACGCAGCTGAGTATGCAACCGGATCACTGAGTAGAATAAGAACTTTCTTCAGGAATTCGCCCGCCTGGGATGCTTCTTTAATGGAGTAGAGTAAATATCACATCACCACGTGTTCGGCTGTCGCCAACAAAATGGCCGAAGTCTGCTTGTCCCTGACATAGTAGAAGTTAGAAGCCGTGAATACTTGCTCTGCCCGTGATGCCAGCGTGGTGTACTGTGCAGTATATGAAGAAATTCTTCGAAGGCGTCTTTGCGGAGCTCCTTGTTGAAGCCTGCTTGCTCGACTCTTTTGCTTTCTGTTTGTTGCCCGACTTAGACTCCCGAGCCCTGCTGCAGGAATGATACTTTGATAATATATGAAACGGGATTACTAGTGCTGTAGAAGAGCATTTCATAAAGCATTTTCGTCGTGTGGACAAGTGCAGTCAGATTTGAAGAGTAATTAAAGCACATTTGAGGTGGTTTCAGCTTGTTTGATTTTAGATAGCATGTCATATACGGCTATGCGAATTCATACCTACTACCTTACATAAGCTTCGAGGCTCACCGTGACGGGGAGTATGTGAAGATCTTTAGTGGGCTCGTAATTATAACTGTATGGACTCTTTCGCATGATGTCTTCGCCGCAGTTATATAGTGGTTGTCATGTTCGGCTGCTGACCCGAAAGTCGCCGCTTCGATCCCGGCCGTGGTGGTTGCATTTCTCATGGGCGTGAAGTCTCGTGTGCTAAGGTCGCGTGTGCTAGGGTCTCGTGTGCTGCCGACGCACGTTAAAGGACGCCATGCATGGTCAGAACTTCCAGAGTCCTCCACTGTACGGCCTTCCTCACATTCACATTCAGAAGAGCTTGTGGAGAACCGATTGGAACTTTATGGTTGAAAGAGGCAGTGCGGCAAATTTTGCAAAAGGTAGCAAAGACTTATGGGTCGTTTTCGTCTGCAGCCTTTATGAACACTGCAACTCGGCCTGTTTCGCTCGTAATCACATCGCAATTTTGTCGCGCAAAACCCAACATACAATGATCGCAGCTTCTGGGCGTCACTCTCATCTAAATGCGGCAGCCACGCACGAGAGTCGAACCCGAGTCTTCTAGATAAGCGGCCCAACGTCGCAAGTCACCACACTATGGTACTCTTTCTTTTTATTCAGGGAGTGCTGGACTGCTCAGGGAGGCGGCAATTCGCGGCTGCCTCGTACCTGGCCATCCGAGACCACGTCCTTCGGGAGACGGCCAATCCTTTCCAGGCAGCGAAGGTCGTCTATTCCATTGCCGTGAGTGAGCTGAACTCTCGCTTCACCTGAGGACGCTTTCTTTGCACTTTTAGCTCGCAGCACTGATGTATGTTGTATCGCGCCAAGCTCAATTAAAAGACTGCAGATCTTCTTTTGAAAATTTTCCAGCAGAATAACTTCAGCAGTACTTATTGCTGTTAGGCCAGACGCTTCATACTGTCCTTTGACTGCATGAACCGACCAGTCCGCCCAAGTTACTGGTGGGTTGATGAACAGCTTGAAACGTCCCAATTCTATAGGGACGAGCAAATAGGAAGCTGTTTGGCGCAGTTCGAGATCCGACATTTAGAAGACCATCTTGAAGTGGGCTGAGAAGCCTATCTGAAGTATACTTACTTCCGATCCGTCCTTTTGTCCCTTCCCATTTAACGGAACACAATCTTGTCCATTCATTCGCTGCACGTGTCAGCCAACATTCGTAGAGTCTACTGGACAGTGAATACAATGAAAACCAGGCTGCATGCCCCGATGTCTTTGTATTGAAATAGTTCCCACAGTGTGCACACATCTGCGACCATGAAACACTGCTTTCCCTATACTGCTTTTTTTTTCTAACTAAATTCACTTGAAGCCGGGGTTCGTATTGTCGGCTCTGTTTCTATGTCCTCGTTTTTCAGCGCTGCAAAGTTACTTCATCGTGCTTTACAAGTGCAGTCCATCTTCTGTGCCTCCTAGGTGGCCTTAGGTGAAGGACGTTTGAAGGCACGCATTGATTTTTCGTGTGCACAGCTGATAACATCGGTGTTACACAAGTCAGCGTTATGGCGCTTAATGATGGACAATGGTCATCTTTGCGCATGCGCACGTAATGACGTGCTCGCGTCGCTCACGCAGCTGGGCGCCGACGTGTTTCGGGCGACGCTTCCGCTGAGCTTTCCGATGCTGCTGGATGCCGGCACGCCGTCGAGCGTCTTCGACGGTCCGACAATACAGCCGAACAAGACCAGCTATGACCACGTGTGCCACATGCCGAAGGGCGTCTTCGATGGCGACAGCGAGTGTGTCTACGCCATCCGGCAGACGGCCACTGGTGGCGCCGAGGTGAGACGAGAGCTCGAGTCGATTCGCGTACATGTATTGGCTGTTTTAGACAAGCGCTCAAATGTTGGCTCAATGTCGAAACGCTGGGTATTATAGAACTGTTCGCGTTTTACGTCCCAAAACCACGATATGATTGAGGAACGCCGCCAAGATTTTCAGGCAAGTAAACTTGCGTATGCAAATTTATAAACACAATCTCCATTTAAGGCAGAAGCTAGAGGAAAATAAACGATTTAATGAGTTTTTTTCACAAACAGTCGCATCTAGTGACCGCGCCTTGAACTACAGACCCTTTCACTGTTTACAAACACAGACCCTTGATGACATCCGGTTTCGTCCATCGATGTTCCTGAATAGCATCGGTGGGCAAGAAGAGCGTTAGAAAATAGCCCGCTTATTTTACACACTTCTGTTCTCTCAATTGGCAAACATATTAAAAAAACGTTTTTTCGAACTACATAAAAACTACACGAAATTGCCTTAAATATTACGGTCGTTCTTTTTATCTGAAAAACTAATAAGAGACTTTATTTACCCTTGAAAAAACGTGAAAACGTACTTCCTGTTTCGACGTGCCGAACTGGTAAATGAGGTGACCGGAAGTTATTTTTTGTCGCACAACGCTTGCAATCTTGAAACCGTCTATAGGAGGTGACGTTTCATAGGTTATAAACTCGCCTGGAAACCGGCATCGATGAGGCGAGACAACCCCACAAGAACTTAAAAAACAAACATTTGTTGTCTTATGTTGCCTTCATTGGACAAGGTGCAACGACTGGGGAAGGAGAAGTACTTCACCGTATTGCGTGCCGTATTTCTAAACTTCTTTAAAAATTATTGAATGCGTCCTCCTTATGGTGGCGTAACGGTCGTGGTGCTCGGCTGCTGACGCGAAGGTCGTGAGTTCGATCCCGAACGCACAAGTCACATTCCGCTGGAAGTCAAATGTTATAGGCCCGTGTGCTGCGCATTGTCAGTGCACATGAAGAACACCACATGGTCCAAATTTCCGGATCCCTCCACTACGGCGACTTTCATAATCAAATCGTGGTTTCGGGACCTAAAAAGCCAGATATTTTCATTATCAAGCATTGTCTGCCACATTAAAATTATTATTCGCTTGAAATCGCAATATGATACTGCAGAAAAAAAGCTAATAAAAAGGGAGAAAGCGTCAGACCCTGACCCGCAGGTCGCGGGTTCGAATCCCGGCTGCGGTGGCTGCATTTCCGATGGAGGCGGAAATGTTGTAGGCCCGTGTGCTCAGATTTGGGCGCACGTTAAAGAACCCCAGGTGGTCGAAATTTCCGGAGCCCTACACTACGGCGTCTCTCATAATCATATGGTGGTTTAGGGACGTTAAACCCGAAACATCAATCAATCAGAAAGCGTCAGACCTCATGCCCAATGGCATATACGTTTTTTTTTATTGATATGATATATAAGGAGATGTTGGTGCACCATTATGGCATATACGTCTTTTCCCTGTTATCGCTCTATCGGCCACAGCTTTTTCGTTAGGTCGTAATCGTAAAGTGTCCGCAGTTTTAAATTGTCAAAGTGTGCATTTGATAAACGATGCATTTCTAAGCGTATACCGCGATCAAGCGACGTCAGTTTGCGCATATCTGCCCACGTGCAGTGTTTCCTCTCCCGTACTTGTAGACTGACACGCTTTTCGCGCATTTTTTTTTTTTTTGCTGCTCAGCTCGCCTTGTACGCGGGTCCCGAGGAACTGGCCGCGCGCATGCGCAGCTCGTACTACAGCAAGATCGGGGACACGACGGTCGCCGTGTACGACATGTACCTGGACGACTTCGGCGGGAACTGCATGTCCACCGGAGGGGCGACAACGAAGCTCTCTCCCCTGGTGGCTGCTATCGCCGAGACGGGACTGTGACCTTGGCCTCCGCGATCAACTGTTTGCCTGAGCTAATCTCGGAGGCCATGCTGTGACCGCGAATTCGGCTCAATGTGGCGCTGACGCTGCTTAGTCGCCTGATACAAGGGTGGCGCCGCTCCTGACTTTAGTTTCGTGCCCATGTTTAAACTATTGCCGCCGTATCATGCACTGAGATTATTGTTATTTATACATACTGAACTCGATTTCTATGTATACTGTTCGCTACAAAGAAAACATGTTTTAGATCATCATTGTGGTTTGTTCATTCTTATTTATTTGATAAGCTGATTTGCTTATCAATAGGATACTTCCTTTTTTTTTGTTAGGGGGTGCATTTTCTTTGAAATATCACGCGTGCTGGACGCGCTGGTTTTCTTGTCTGCTTTCGAAACTGTACATACACATTCCCTTACAAATGCGTGGTTTCTGCGATCGTCACCATCGTATTAATAAGCGTTAAATTTTAAGTTTCTAAGAAATGCCATCCTAATTGAAAAAAAAAGTTTAAATAATCAGGACGCTTATTAGCATTTCACAAAGCCAGGTACAAAAAAAAAGATGCACGGGAACCTTGACATTTTCTTTCTTTAGCTAGAGCGGAGTCGATCAAGGAGAATGCATTTCATCCAATGGACACTTCGCCTCGTCGGAAATTCGGGTCGTCAATTCTGTGCTATCTCGATCAAAAAGTGAACAGTCTTCAATCTTGAGTCGCGGTGTAGTTCGAGTAGCTTGTCACCGCCGGCGCAGAGACAGATCGCTTCCAATCACACCACGTGACATCACTGGTGGATCCGTGGCCCGACACTTCTCTTTGCACACTCGGGCGCATGTGCTGTGGTGATATCTTATCGCCGAGCCTTTCCAGCGGGCCATGCTTGGCGTTGCCGGGAGAGGGGGACGAGCTGGCCCGACGAATTCGGTGCCCATTTCAGGCCACTGCTACGCAGCCACAAGATGTGTCCGGAACTGAACGGCTACTACTGCCGCGAGGTAAGATTTATTTATTACCAACTAGAAGGGTATAATTAACTATTGGTCGTCTTACTTGTAGTAGTTCAGTGCCCAGTTCGTTTTTACATCGATAGGGAGTTAATTTACTGGTACCATGCGTGGTAACATAAAACATAGTAGTTATGCTCTAGATCCCGCATTAGTTCTGATTTGAAGAACGTTAGTGTGGTGCTTGTGTTGTCGTTTATCATTGTCAAGCCTCGCGATTGAGCAGAAAAAGGCTTGCACTCGGGGTGTCGGCAGAGGCAGCGTTTCTACAAGCAGTGTGGTTTTTTCGAGGCTGCAAACGTCTACCTTGATGCCTATATCCCACTCCATACAAACAGGGGTAGCATGTCATGTGTCACATGAGTATTATAAAATTTCACTGGTGCACCCGATGTGCTGCACAAAGAAGAAACTATTTTCTGCCCATAGGTGGGTAAGAAATAACAGCCCTGTAGTGAGTTAAGCTGTATAGGTACGAGCGACTCGCACAATACCACTTTTATTTGAATGTTACACCTATAAAGACGACGGTATCAGAAGGTTAACAACTTTATTGATTCATGAAAGAATGGGGGGGGGGGTATAAGCAGGATGTTGTTGGGCCTTCAGGCATACCTATAGACGACTGGAAAGTTCTGCGCTTTGGCAACCTCTCTGGCCCAGCCCCCTACAGCTCCGGTTACGAGCTCACCTGAGCAGCCTTTCATCGCTTCTGACATTACGGCTCTTGCACGGGAGTTTACGCTTGTTCGGGCAAATCAGAAAGACGCGGTCGGAGGATGGCGTCTACGGAGGCCACAGTTTTCAGAGGCGACTTCCTAAAATGTGATAGAGTTCACCGAAACGGCAACAAATTTCACCGTGCAGCAAAATTTAATTAACGCGTTAGAATCTGTTCAGAACCGCTCAGTTCGGTTCATTTGTTCTAATTATTCCCGTACTGCTAGCATATCAGAAATGAAATCTAACCTTGACCTACCCAATTTAACTGTCCGGAGGAAACTGGCGCGACTGCATTTTTTTCATAAGATATTTTTTCACAATCCATCAATGAAGCGAGACCTCATTTCACAACCGTCATACCACTCATCGCGCATTGATCATCAGCATAAGGTTGCCATTCCGTTTTGCCACACCAAATTCTTTTCAGCAGCCTTCTTACCGAAAACAGCCGCCGATGGGAACCACCTTCCCTCTTCCGTTGTATCAATAACAGACCCTTTGTTATTCAAGACTGCAATTTCTCAGCAATGCTTGTAACTATACGCAGTTTCCATTATCTATCTTTGTCTTGTATGTGCTTGAATTCTTATACATTTTTAGTTGACTTATGTTGCCTTCCTGATTTGCGCATCTGATACTTGTTTCTTTATTTTGTCTTTTTTTCTTGTGTGTTGTATATGTTGTACCCACCCCCTCTGTAATGCCCTACGGGCCCTGAGGGTATTCTAATAAATAAATAAATAAATTATCGGAGGGCCAGAACTGGGTGGACGAGCTGACGGGCTCAACCTTTAGCCCAGAAAGAAACATTGCCTTTTAGTGCAAGCGTTGCCTGGTCAGCGCAGCGTGATAAATGCTACGGTCCTTATAATTACTTATCTATGCCTTTTCTAATAAAAGACGCACATACAAAATATATACATGTTGTTATGGTGCCTAAGATATGCGCAATAATTGCTTTTGAATTGAAAATTGCACAAGTATTTACGCTGAATCTTGAGCAACATTGGTGGGTGTTGCGGACGGGGTCGGCCGTTTGGTGTATCGACTGGTGCCGTTCAGAGTACCCGGCACCGTTAAGGGTGGACAAACAGACAATTGTACAGACAGACAGACAGACAGACAGGCAGGCACAGACAGACACAGACAGACAAACACAGACAGACAGGCAGGCACAGACAGACAGACAGGCAGGCACAGACAGGCAGGCAGGCACAGACAGACAGGCAGGCAGGCACAGACAGACACAGGCAGGCAGGCACAGACAGACACAGACAGACACAGACAGACACAGACAGGCAGACACAGACAGACACAGACAGACAGACGCAGACAGACATACACAGACAGACACAGACAGACAGACACAGACAGACAGACCAAAATATTTGAGTCCAAGAAAAGTGGTCAATACCTCGGACTGCTTGAATGAAGTACGCGTGGATAACAAGTATCGACAGAAAATTGCAACCCAAGGGGCGCAGCCGTGTTGCTGGAAATCGTCACGCTGGCTTCCGGGCGGCAAGCGATCTTTCCTAGTTTTTTTTTCTTATTGCAGAAATGCGCGACGTGTCAAGCGATGGCGACGGATGTGCCTCCGCGACAGAATCCTGTCGTTTGTCGCTTTCGCTAGAAAATCGCGTGCATGCGGTTGGGCCGTAACAGTCGACGTGCGCTTTACTTAGGAAAAAAAATTAATGGTGCGGATTTTGCAGTGGTTGTGTCTGCCAGCGGCAATGACGAAAAAAAATTCCTGTTGCATCAGGTTTGGCAGCCGCCCACCTTTGGTGTTTGTCGGAATCGATAACACAACGTTGTAATCATGAACAGCAATGATATGCGGATTTTACAACACCAGCTGACCACGCTGGTTTCGTAAGTAGACACACGTCTAGACAAAGAGACGTGTTGAGAAGTAGGAAATACATACGCGCGACAGGCGGAACACGGAAGTGTGACCAGTGCAATAGAAAAGTCTTCTTGAAAACAGTTGAAAATATAGAATAAGGGAGGAAGGAAGGAAAATAGGAGGAAAAGAACTGCAGGGAGGTTAACCAGCCTATAGGCGGCCGGTTTGCTACTGTACAGCTGAGCCAGTTGCTAAGTGTTCATCTTAAATTTCGGGGAGCGCAAGTACGGAAGTGAACTCTACAAATGCCGAGTAACAATGCACTGCACAGCCACAGAACAGGGCAAAAAAACGCACGAAAACTTATTCGCCACAGGCAATAAGCGAACACATCCACCTGCACTTGTGGGTGGTCTGAGCGATAAATAATTGTTGGGGCATATCACTTCTTTATGTGGAAAATCGGTGCTGGTCTGCGTTTCTTCTTATCTTTTGTTGCGCTGTTAATATAATGGACCACCTACTCGCCGAAAGATTAGTTCTCTTTATGCAAGTCAACCATGGTCGACTCACTCATGTGGCACTGTTGTCGATATGGTGTCTACTTTTTCTTGCGTCTGCGTTTGCAGGCGCAGTCGCTTTTTAGGAACAGTTGAAATGTCGCTTAACCTATCCTATTTTGCGTTTCACGAGAAATACAACTTTTCAGGAAGTGTGGTGGCGTTGAAAATTGTAGTCACAGCGAACTACCTGAGTTGTCCGAGTATTGTTATGCCTGCGAGTCCAAAGCGAACGTCCGTGCCTTTGAAAAAGGCAATCTGTGTCAAGGCCAGCCCGCCTGACGCGAACAACTCAACGGCGTAAACGCGTGCGGCGCCTTTGTGGCGCGCACGTGCAGTCAGTCAGCGCAGCCGCGAGCCCGTCGAGTAAACAACTGGCGTCTTCCTGTCTGGCGGCTGACGTAATGCGCGGCGACGTCACTCGTCCTTGGGTGCAGCCACCTGCAGCGCAGCCTCTCCAGATTCGATGAGAAAGAAGGACGCGGCCCAGCGGCGACCCCATTGGAGGATTCTAACCGCACGACCAGCGGCGCTTCTGGTTGGACATTTGGCTTGGACCCGGTGCACATAAAAGAAGCCCTGCGGCGCGTCGAGAGCAGACCTCTTTGACAGCAGACCCATTTGAGAGCAGACCTATGTGTTAGAGAGGAGAGCTCGGCTCTTCGAGTCTCTGTCGGCCCCAGTGCCGAATTTGTAACGCCTCTGTATATATGCTGTACATAAACCTTGTTTAACTCACCGTCGTCTCGTCCGCTCGTGTATCAGCTCAGCGCAGAAGCAGTCGCGAGCTGAGAAACCTACGCTACCAAACGGCTGGTGACCTTCCCGGCGGAGTTCGAAGCAGCGGCGCCTTCGGGACCGTGTTGGCGTCGCCGTCTTTCGAAACAGTGGTCGTAGCAGTGAGATTTCGAGGCGCCCTTCGTAACGTCTCGGAGGCGCGCGTCGCAACAGTGGTGGCAGCGGTGGGATCGGCCGGCGTCAGCGACATCGATGCGGTGAGTGCCTGATGTTTTCCCCTCAGTTCACCAGACTACTCTAGCTCAGGTTGTAGTAGTTTAGAGAAGGGCTGTGTGAAGCATTGAAGTGAGCTTTGATCGTTTCAAGCAAAGTCGAAGTGCTTTGAAACCAAAGTTAATGCGGAGGGAGTAAACACGGGAGTGTGAAAAATTGCTTGCGCGTCTTGCTAGTAGGCTTATAGTGGGTACGGCAAGTAAATTGTTAACAGGGGCAAACAGCAAGAGGCTAGTGTGATCGATGGAGAACCTTAAAGTGAAGGAACTCATCGAAATTTGTGAGGAACTCGGCATTACTTTGGACCGTACGAAACGAAAGCAAGCGATCCTTGAGATCATGAAGGATGAGGGAGTGTCGGCTGAGGAAGTCGATGAGGCCTGGGTGGATATCAAAGCACGCCGCGAGGAAGCTGAAAAGCGAGAAGCTCGCGAACGTGAAGAAGCTGAAAGGCGAGAAGTTCGCGAACGTGAAAAAGCTGAAAGGCGCGAACGTCGCGAACGTGAAGAAGCTGAAAGGCGAGAACGCCGTGAGGAGGCTGAGAGGCAGGAGCGCCTTGAGTTTAAACGAATAGAATTGGCAATCCTACAGTGTTCGCAGGCGCCTAGCGTAGCTTCTCCAACAGTTCAGGTCAGCGGTTATAGAATTCGGGACCAACTGCCACCGTTCGTAGTAGGCGAGGACATGGCGAAGTATCTCGTCAAGTTTGAACACGTGTGTGAGCGAAACGCTTTGGAGCGGTCTCTTTGGGCGCAGAACCTGTTAGCTCTTCTTCCCGGCGAGTGTCCGACGCATTAACTTGCTTGTCGCGGGAAGCGTTTGAGAGCTATGACGAGGTTAAGGAAGTGCTCTTTAGACGTTATAAGTTGTCACCCGAGGCTTTCAGGCAAAGGTTCCGGTATGCTAAAAAGGGGAATGAGTCACACATTGACTTCGCGTTTCGTCTTAAAGCTGATTTAATTAAATGGCTCAAGGGCGAAGGTGTTTATGACAACCGCGATAAAGTGGTGGAATGCGTTGCATTGGAGCAATTCTACCGCTGCATCGAGGAGGATGTCAAACTTTGGCTGCAGGACAAACTTGGTGAAGTACAGCTAAACAAGGCAGCAGAGTTAGCTGAGGAGTATTATACTCGCCGAAAGTTGCATAGCAGGGCAGTGCGCGTGGAAAAGGGTGAAAGGAAAAAGGGCTTTTCAATGAAACTTCATCAATGGAAGCCGCGAATCTGCCACAACTGCAGAAAGGAAGGGCACATCGCGATAAACTGTAAGCAAAAGTTTGCGACAATTCGAGAATCGGAAAACAAACGGAAGCCGCTAATCTGCTACAACTGCAAAAAGGAAGGGCACATCGCGATAAACTGTAAGGAAAAGTTTGCTTTTGCAACAATTCGAGAATCGGAAAAGAACATGCGGTTGTTGGCGCCGTATATCCAAGAAATTAGTGTGAATGGGCAAACGTGTCGAGCACTTCGTGACTCAGCGGCAACCATGGACGTTGTCCCTCCTTCATTGGTGTCTCCGGATGACTTTACAGGAGAACGCGCGTGGATCAGGCAAGTCGCCGAGGAGCAGAGTGCTTGCTTACCAAAAGTTACGGTTGTCATTGAAGGCCCGTTCGGTAAGCTTCGCACCGAAGCGGCTGTGTCTGCCGCGCTTCCCGATCGTTTTTCTTATCTTTTCTCCAACAACTCAGAGCAGCTTCTCAAAGAGCAGGGTAAATCGTTCTTCCCCAACTTAGCGTACATGGCCCTCATGCGATCGCAAGCGCGGAAGCTTTCGCAGGAGCTTGATCTTGTTCAATGCGGTGAACTTTCAAGTGAACTTGGCGGCGAGTCGACGGAACCTCAGAGAGGAAATTTTCCGCGTGAGTCATGTGAGCAGTCACGCGAGCGGCACGTCGCCGAAGCGACCGGCGCGGCTTCCGTAGAAAGGGGAGACGACATGGCGCCATTGAGTCAGAGCGAGAGGGTTGCAACGCTCTCGCCTGTAGCGGAAAGTTGGAGTGAGCTGTCGAGGGTTGATCGGAAGACGCTCATTCGAGAGCAGCGTGCGGACATCTCGATAAAAGCGCTAAGGGAAAGCGTAAACTTGGGAAAGCTATACGCTAACGCAGGTGCATTGAGCAGTGCGTTCTAGCTAGTACCTTTTCAACCTTTCGGTTTCTCGCTGGCGATACGGGGCAAAATTTTGTCCTCATCACGACCGGTTGAGCGCTCTCGTTCAGAGTGGTTTCAAGGAGCCAACTTTGTTGTATTCTAATTCGTTACGTTGTTGTACGTGTAAAAAAATTGAGCTCTCATTTTAAGTCTTGTGTCCCACATGTGCCTCTTGATGTAGAGGGAACGAAATTCCGATAGACACGTAGCTAGGTATATGTCGTGCTATACTTTGTCTGGTGTTCTGTCGGGTGACCGAGGGCACTTGCTTGTGTCGTGTGTTGTCTGTTGTCGAACTGTTCTTGACAAGTTGCAGAACCATCGACAAGTGCTGAAACCAAAGATGGTCAGAAAAGACGAGCGAAGCTGGTCGACAAGTTGTGGCGACAAGCCAGTGGAGCTGGGATCCGTCCTCAAGAATGGGATGTGTTCCGGGGACAGAGCCTGGAGCTGCATTCTCCCCATGGCCCTGGAGGCGAACCTGGAGGGACCTGGTGAACGAGCGCGCCTGACATCCGAGCCACGTAGAAGCAGCTCGTCTTTTCGGCGCATTGTCTGGCAGCGGGGGTGCTGTTATGGCTGCGAGTCCACAGCGAACGTCGGTGCCTTTGAAAAAGGCAATCTGTGTCAAGGCCAGCCCGCCTGACGCGAACAACTCAACGGCGTAAACACGCGCGGCGCCTTTCTGGCGCGCACGTGCAGTGAGTCAGCGCAGCCGCGAGCCCGTCGAGTAAACAACTGGCGTCTTCCTGTCTGGCGGCTGACGTAATGCGCGGCGACGTCACTCGTCCTTGGGTGCAGCCACCTGCAGCGCAGCCTCTCCAGATTCGATGAGAAAGAATGACGTGGCCAAGCGGCGACCCCATTGGAGGATTCTAACCGCACGATCAGCGGCGCTTCTAGTTGGACATTTGGGTTGGACCCGGTGCATATAAAAGAAGCCCTGCGGCGCGTCGAGAGCAGACCTCTTTGACAGCAGACTCATTTGAGAGCAGACCTATGTGTTAGAAAGGAGAGCTCGGCTCTTCGAGTCTCTGTCGGCCCCAGTGCCGAATTTGTAACGCCTGTGTATATATGCTGTACATAAACCTTGTTTAACTCACCGTCGTCTCGTCCGCTCGTCTATCAGCTAAGCGCAGAAGCAGTCGCGAGCTGAGAAACCTACGCTACCAAACGGCTGGTGACCTTCCCGGCGGAGTTCGAAGCAGTGGCGCCTTCGGGACCGTGTTGGCGTCGCCGTCTTTCGAAACAGTGGTCGTAGCAGTGAGATTTCGAGGCGCCCTTCGTAACGTCTCGAAGGCGCGCGTCGCAACAGTATACTCTTCGTCGTTGTTCGGTCCAGCAAACTTTTGAAGCGCTGGCATTCGTGGTATTAGGAATGAGCGCTTTCGGCACCTGCATGCATCCACGAGAGGGCGAAAAATACTTTATTTCTCTATTTAAACTCGTGAAAAAAGCATTTAGAGTTGACGAATAAACGGTAGAAAACTCCTGGGCATTGGCAACCTTGAGGACACTCATATTTCTCGCATGTCTGGGAATGGAAACAAACGACTGATTATTTATCACATCCAAAACAAATTGTGAAGAGGAACTTCGAAATAATGCATCTTTCTAAATGGCTAGAGAAATTGTCATTACCAGGACTGATTTGTTTGCTGTAGCATTAAGTGTAGAATTACTTAATGTGCAGCGTGATTCTTTTAAAACTGGTCTATTTCATCTGGCTGTAATTTTCCTATAAAGTATGCTATTTTATAATAGTTTGCGGCAAAACACCCAAGAAAGATGAGTACAATTTAATGACACGTCCCCCCCCCCTTTTCTATGCTCATACGCGCACACGTGAATGAATAAATTTTTGAAATAATGAATTAATGAAAAGACAACCAAACCGCGTAGTGCGACAGGGAGGGATGTCTAGTCCAGCGCAATCTTCGCATCAGCCAGTGGTGGCGGCAGTTGGCGAAGCCAAGTTGTGGTCACTAGAGACTCCACATCCAGGCTCATAAAGTTACGTTGATGTGATTGCAGAGCGCTCTGTATGTACAGTGTAAATTTTTATGAAAGGGAACATGGGAGCGCGTGGCATGCGCGCTCCGGCGGCTGCTGGCAGCGCGTTCAAGCGAAGCCATAGCAACCGCAGTCTCTTCTCGCGTCATCTCGGGGCGAGCAAAGCAAGTCATTGCTGATATGGAACCGCTGGCAAGATTGCAACCCCCTTCCCCATAAAGGCGATTACGCAAGAGCCAGTAATCGCCTTGAAGGGTGGAATATTGCTGCTGCCTATAGTTCGATATTATCCCGACTTTCAAAATACCGCGTATCACTGCATTACAAAGCTGTTCCAGCGCGCTACACTGGACCTTTGGCTATTGAATGTTGACTTTGCATTTGCACTTTGTCAGAAAAAAAGACAGTGCGCTGCATATACGCTAAAGCAGTTATCAGTAATTGCTTTCTTCAGCCGAGGGAAAGCCTCCAACTCGGCGAATGGCAGGTTCAAATTGCAGACGACGACTTTTTGGTACATGTCTTATAGTTTTGTCACATAGCATACATACGCAAAACCTACCGTAGTCACTTAGCAGGTGAGACGTTGTGCAACTCAACTGAAGGTTGCGGGTTCGATTCCCAGCCACGGTGGCCGCATTTCGTTGGAGGAAATACGCAAAAGCACATGGTCACATTAGTTTAGGTGCATGCTCGAGAACTCCAGAAGGTCGGAATGATTCTGAAGTACGCCCGATGAAAATGACAGGTGTAACCTTAAGAGACGAACAGGGTCAGAGAATGAAGGGGGGTTAAAGGTCTCGTGTGTTGAAGTAAAAAAAAAAGAAAAGAAATGGACATGGCTGCAATCGTAGCGCGTAGGTAGGACAGCCGCTGGTCGTTCAGGATAACTGAATAGATTCTAAGAGAATGCGAACGTGTGGTGGGAGACAGGAAATTGGGCGGGCAGTTGAGATTAAGAAGTTTGCGGGTATAACATGAGTGGGAAAAGCACAGACAGAGTTGACTGGCAGAAAATGGGGAAGGCCTTTGTCATGCAGTGAGAATAGTCAGGCTGATCATGATGTTGATACCTACTGCGGCCCGCCTCATGCTTGTATCATTTTTTTTGGCCCATTAACAGTTTTGTGACCACACGGAATCTCATCGTTAGTAGGCTAACGATGACTTAAAGTTGAAATTTCGGCACTCTCCCAGCGGTTCTGCACATTTAACTCCCACTGAAGGGTAAAAGAGGAAGCACACGAGTGTCGCTGACAATTTTTTTTGTCCTAGCGGGGAAGTCATCAGGTTCCTTCGAAGTCGGGGAGGGTAAGCGCTTGCGGTTTCCATTGTGGCATCGAAATCGCTCAAGTATGCTCCCCGATAACGGCGAATTTCGGCGGACTCCTACGAATTCGAGAGGGAATCTCTGGATGATGGCATTAAGCTCAGACACGGAAGACGGATTCAATCTTACAGACGTAGTACGGATGGTGATAACGCTTCAAACCGCCCCCTCAAAATCAACAGGTGTTGTTTCGCAGGTGAGTTTTGCTCTCCTTCGGGAGATCTCGTAGCTTAGTGGAAAACAGCGCATCACAACGATGACAAGAGAGACCAAACAGGGCTATAGCGCAGGGCGAGTGGGTACCAAATCGTTTAAATCAATCTCGCTAGAGGACATTACTTATGTAATGTCTGTAAAGCACTCATCCAGTATACTGTGTTTTTTTCGCCCTATAACCTGGGCCGACACGGTCCGAGGAGGGCCAGCTGAGGTACTGTCGGGGTCACTCCCAGAGCATGCGGAGAGCGCGCGCGAGATTTACCAGCTGAAACGCGAAAATGCAGCGATGAAGGAAACCATAAACAGGCTTATGTTCGAAATAGCTGAGATTAAGAACGCGAGAAACCCACCACCGCAACCCGCCGCCGCATGCGTCGCCGATACATTGCCCTTACCCATGGAGGTGCACAGCACTAAAGCCGGCGACAGCAGCAGTGAGGGTCAAAGTGCTTCCAAGAAGATGGCCGCCGCCTACGAACAGGAAGGTGTAGCGATTCGAGTCAGGTCTGAGCTTCGAGACACGCTATCCGCGCTCAGTGAAAGCATCGATAAGCTCGGGGAGAATTTCGCCCAACTGCAGATCACCCTGGCCGCGCAAAACGACCGAGTATTCAAGGTAGAGTCGTTTCTCGAAAGCGTAGTGAAACCAGCTCTGACCTCAACCGCCGTCGTACAACCCCAGCCCGGCGCTACGGGCCCCATCGTCCACGCTATTCTTAGCCAATCTGAGGGCAGCACCAGCCCACAAAAGCACCAAGATGGCCAAGCCAAGTGAGACGTTTCTTATTTGGCAATGGAACTGCAGGGGCTTCCCTAGTAAAAAGGCGTCCTTGCAGCAGTACATTCGATGCTCTAGCGAAAAACCCCTCGTCATTCTGCTTCAGGAAACATTAACTCCAAACGTCACACTGACTGGTTACAAGCCCGTCTCGCGTTATTCCGATGGCCGGGGCGTCTGCACCTTGGTCAGTAACAAGCTCACACACATCTCTCACGACCTCAAAATGGCCACCAGCAGCGCCGAATAAGTCATGACCGAGATTCTGCCGCGCAGCTCGGACCGAAGCAGCATCTTTTTTCTCAACTTGTACAGTAGCCCTAAGGACCGACGGCAGCGCTTCAGGGCCCTCATAAAGAAGGCCGTCAACTTGGCAGGTCCAAACCACCTGGTTGTGGCGGGTGATTTTAATGCTCCGCACCACACTTGGGGCTACCCGTACAATACCGGCAAGGGCGCGGAACTGTGGCAGAACACGACGGACATGGACCTGACTCTAATCACCGACAAGGCCTTTCCAACTCGGTTGGGCACCTCATCCTGCAGAGACTCCACTCCCGACATGACCTTCGTCAAGAATCTCCCCGATGTACAGTGGGCCAACTCAAACATTGACTTAGGTAGCGACCATTACGTCCTGGTGATGCAGTTCTTAATGGTCCGAAAGAGGGCACGGGAGTTTTCTTGGACAAACTGGGACCAGTTTCGCAAAGTCCGCAACGACCGACCCCTACCTGCAACCAGGCCAAGCCTACAGGAGTGGATTAGCCAGCTCAGAGAGGACGTCATAAGTACCACCAAGAATATTAGTACTGACCTTCTGGTTGAAACAATGGATAGCCGCCTTGCCCACCTGCTCGAGGCCAAGCAGTCACTTCTCGCCCGCTGGAAAGGCCAGCGCCTCAATCGCAGGTTGCGCAAGAAAATCTCCGACCTAAACAAGACCATTGAGGAGCACTGTCGCGTCCTCTCCAAGCAGCAGGGGGACGAGGTGTGCAACTCGGTAGATGGCCAGATGCGTAATGGCAAGACATGGAACCTGCTCAAGCACCTGCTCAGCGAGACTAACACCAAAACTAACCAGCGGAACGTACTAGCGCGAGCAATGCACGAAGCCAAGCAGTCCTCTTCAGAAGAGGAGGTTTTGAAGCAGCTGGTGCAAAAGTACCTCCCTGTCGACTCGAACCCCGCAACAACGTACCCCGAGTACTCAGGAACGGCCAACACTGAACTGGACGCCGAGATATGCCACGAAGAGGTTCGGCAGGCGCTTTACGGGCTCAATGGGAGGTCTGCCGTGGGCCCTGACGGCATAACTAATAAGACCCTGCGCAACCTGGACGACCGGTCAATCGACTACCTCACCGAAGTCATCAACGAGGCATGGAAGAGCGGCGAGGTCCCCGACCCGTGGAAGGTCGCGCGCACCGTGCTCATTCCTAAGCCGGGGAGGTCACCCAACTTGGACAACATGCGCCCCATTTCGCTCACATCCTGCGTGGGAAAGGTAGCCGAGCATGTGGTCCTCAATAGGTTGACTCGGTACCTGGAAGACAATGGGCTCTACCCGTACACCATGATTGGTTTTCGGGCCAAGCTTTCGACGCAAGACGCTATGAAGCTGCTCAAGCACCAAGTCATCGACTGCAACACTCGAGACATGCGGGCCATTCTCGGCCTCGACTTAAAGAAAGCCTTCGACAATGTTGCTCACTCTTTCGTGTTGCGGTCGATTGCTGAGCTCGGCCTTGGAGTCAGATTCTACAAATATGTCAAATCGTTCTTGACCCGTAGGAGAGCCACCCTCAGTGTGGGAGACCTTGTCTCCGAGGAGATCGAGCTGGGATCGCGCGGCACGCCACAAGGGTCAGTGATATCGCCCACCCTGTTCAATCTTGTCATGGTCGGGTTGTCCAAGAGGCTCTCATGTATCGAAGGCATTAACCACACAATTTACGCGGATGATATTACCATTTGGTGCTCAGGTGGCAGCGACGGGCAAGTCGAGCGCACCCTGCAGGAGGCCATAGACACCACGGAAGATTACCTCCGTCCCCCAGGCCTGAGGTGTTCCCCAAGCAAGTCCGAGCTTCTCCTTTACCAACCCACTAGGCGAGGGCCCAAGCCCAAAAACTGGCAGCCGATCTCGAAGAGTGATATCAAGCTCTACACCGGAGATGGCAGTGCAATACCCAGAGTTGACTCCATTCGGGTCCTCGGCATGACCATCGAGTCCAATGGTTCCAACGGCAAGACTATACTCAAGCTCGCCACCAAGACAGATAACGCGGTTCGGCTGGTTCGGCGGGTGGCCAACCGCTACCAAGGCCTCAAGGAAGACAACCTAATCCGCCTGGTCAATGCCTCTGTGCTCTGCCACTTTTCATATGTCGCGGCCATGCACAATTGGCAGCGTGCCGAGCGTGACAAGATCAACGTCTTGCTCAGAAAGATTACCAAGCGAGCCCTCGGTATCCCGATCAGGACGCGCACCGAGCGCCTGCTCCAGCTCGGAGTACACAATACGTTGGAGGAGATTGCCGAAGCGCAGGAGCGGGCCCAGCTCGCGCGCCTTTCGAGCTCCCAGACCGGCAGACATATACTCCGACAGCTCGGTCAATCTCCGGCTGAAGTGGACGAGAAGATGAGACAGGTGCCCCGTGAGATTCGTGACCTCATCACTGTGGCACCGATACCGAGGAATGTCCATCCCGAGCACAATCGTGGTAGGCGACGGGCTAGAGCTGCCACTCTTCTAAAGCAGATTCACAGTGAAGAGCACGGCGTCAGCTTTGTCGACGCGGCCGCGTACCGTGGGAGCCGCGCCTTCTCCGCAGTCGTCGTCGACTCCAAACAACAAATCACCAACTGCGCATCAGTTCACACTGACGATCCGACGGTTGCCGAGCAAGTGGCCATCGCCCTGGCCATCCTGGAAGGTGAAAGGGAGGTCATCTATAGTGACTCTAGGTCAGCTATTCGCGCTTTCGAGCGCGGTGTAATCTCCAAGAAAGCCCTGCGCGTGCTCCAAAGCGGTGGCCGCGACGGCATCAAGCACCACGTACTGATTTGGTTTCCTGCACATGTTGGACAGGTCCAAGGCGCTCCCCCCAACCTCAACGAGTCTGCCCACGAGGCCGCGCGCGCACTAACCGACCGCGCGGGTTCCGGGCAACGATTCGGGGCCAACGGGGTTGCGGAAAACAGGGACGCACCTGCCACGTACAACGAAATAACAAAATATTTTTACCTCGCGCGGAGACTATATCCACTCCCTCATCCAAATCTTAATAGGCCACAGGCCCTTACGCTCAGACTACTGCAGACCGACACGTACCCTAACCTGAGATCCCTTCACGCTATTTATCCTGACGTGTTTCTCAATGACGCTTGCCCCGCATGTGGGGATGTATCCACGCTGGCGCACATGCTCTGGGAGTGCAAGGCAATGTACACTAACCCCAACACTACATCGGTCAGGTGGAAGGCGGCCCTACGCAGCTCCCTCCTGGCCGACCAACTTTGGGCCGTCCAGCAGGCCCGCGGAGCGGCCGATAGGCTTGGCCTAACGGTCCCGACGTGGGAGTCGCCCGCTGCACGCTGACGCGCGCCTTGCAGGACCTCAATAAAGTTTCGCAACCAACCAACCAACCTTTCTTGTGTCATGTGCTGTGATTGATAGATGGTTAAACGCTGATCCTTTTACTGTGTCGTGGCCTTTGTTTTTGATTGTTCTGGTTGACAGCCTTTCGATAACCTTCTCGTTGTTTGCAGGTGTTTCGGTTTGTTTACACGGACTTGCGCTACGTCTGCCGTATACACGCCGCGCGGTGGTTTATTGACAAAGGCACATTGTGGGCAGTGCTTCGCCCCTAGAATTTATACGAACATTAGACAGTGTTCGCGAAAAACGTCGTTGTCCCTAGAACACGGAAATACAAAGATACTTCTAAGACAAAATTACCGCATAAGATGAGCGTGCAACAGCAGGCTATGAAAGCATTACAACATACTCACATATCTTTCGCAGTATTCTTGTATGGTAAGGTGCTCCGATTTCATAATCCCGCTTTTGCCATGATGCTGCTGGTCCCGGTACTTCACTTCAGGGGAACCTAGGGCCCATTCTGCGCTAATGCGTCGCAAATGCGAAAATTCTTGTGAATTCGTACAACCGAAGTCGAGTACCGCAATGAAAAGAAAAAAAAGTTTGTTTAAAAATGTCGTAATTTGTTTTCGACGCTCGGAGCTTCTTCAAAACGTCAATAATGCCTAGTTCACATTGAAACATCCGCTTTTTACAGCGACCGAAATTCCCCTGCCGCCGAAACACAGCGTCGTTCGCACTGGACGCGCCCCGTGCCACCGAATATGCCATCTACTACGGGGCGAACGCGGGATGGATGCGCTGTCACCCGGTTGTTGTCGCGGCTCGCAAACGCTACTACGCTATCCAGTGGTGTCTACTTCGACGATTCTCGTACGCAAGAAGCAAGAAAAGACAGTACTGCTTACTTTGCTGGCAAGTGGCTGTCTTGTAATGCTCCAAGAGCAGAAAAACCACCCACGCCAGCGGCGTTGGTGGGTTCGTTTTGCTTTGCAAGACCACAACAAGCTCGGTCACGCCAACAGCAAGCTCGGTCACCTCTTTCAAGAAATACGGAGGCGAAGTAGGCACAGAGTAGGTTAAACTCCCGTTCTTTCAACATTCAGTTACGCGCACTGCAACATAACAAGTGAGTAGGGCTTGGCCGCCATTTTTCAAAATTCCTTGGCTAGCGCTCCTATTGGTCCGCGGTGACCGATTCAGCGGCAGACGCCGCGAAAATTGGTCCGAGAGCGATCGGCGCGGAGAGGGCCCTTTCGGCGGATCTCGCCGCCGCCGAACCGGATTCAGAGCACTTTCGGCGGCCGGAATGTTCAGTGTGAACGCGGCCTTAGGCTACTAATTCTTCCCGCAAGACTATCGGCGTTGGCGATGGCTGTGATAGTATTGTAAATGGGCCCACCGAAAAAGTTCTTGTTCTATCGCCTTTCTGCGATGTAGATGCGCGACAGTTAGGTATAGGGTAATTTGACTTCCTATTGTCCGCCTCGGTGAATTAGTGGCTAGGGTGCTCCACTGCTGACCCTGAGGTGCGAGTTACATCCTGGCCTTAGCTGTCACATTTAGATGGAGGCGAAATGGTAGAAATCCGTGTACTGTGTGATTTCAGTGCACTTAAAGAACATCAAATGCGTGAACATTCCGGAATACACTACAGGGTTTCTCGTGATCATATCGTGGTTCTGAGACGTAAAACTTGTCCTTGTTCACCTATTGCCCGTGCCGCATACCCACTATAGAATATTGGCCGAAAATTGAGGGGTTTTATAATATAGTACGCATGTGTTTTGAGAACAAGGAGCTCTATAATAGACAGATACAGATGACATAGACAGTCATATTTCATTAAGGCATTAGTTATTTAAAACAATAAAGCATCCTAATTAGAGCAATACTCGATTTTTTAATGCGTGTAGAATGGTAGACAATCGTTAGATATATAATGTAAAATATTAGGTAAGCGACTACTTCCAATTATATAGCCCCTCACCGCCGCGCATATACTTTCGCGTGGGAGAAACCTAGAAAGCGAGGCTTCAAAAGACAAAATGACTGGCGCAGATAAATCCACATCAATACCACGTTAAGGTAATTATCTAAAAACGGTATTCTTACGGAATCAATGTAGCGCCCAAACAAAAGGACGAGAAATCAAAGGGACACGCACAGGGTTTTTCAGTTACAGTAGTAAATCTCCATGCAGGTTCTAAAAAGAAATGATCTATTGTTTCCATGGTTCACCACAGAATGCGCAGAGTGGTGATGGTGCCTGAGCAGACCTGTGTTAGTAGAAATTTAGATTTGGTACCCTTGAACTCGGTGAGCGTGCATCCCCTTGAGATGGTCACATCCCGCTCTCTATGCAATGGCCCCGCCGCGGTTGTAAAGCGGCTAAGATACTCGTCTACTGTCCCGCAGGTCGCGGGATCGAATCCCGGCTGCATTTTAGATAGAGGCGAAAATGCTGTAGACCCGTGTGCTCAGATTTGGGTGCACGTTAAATAACTTCAGGTTGTAGAAGTTTCCGGAGCCCTCCACTACGGCGTCTCTTATAATAATACGGTAGTTGTGGGACGTTAAATCCCACATACGATGGCTTCGGGACTTTGAAGCCCACATCCTTTTTCGCAATGGCGACAAAAAAAATGGCGGAGAGGTGGGAACATGGGGCCCGTGTGCCACCCATTGGCTACGTTCCCGATCCATAGTCGGAGTCCTGTTAATGCGCATTTACTCACCTGAGCAACAAAGCAAGGAATGGTGTTGCGAGTAATACCATTAATGGGGCCGATTCCATCTTTTTTCAACAACCTTTGTACTCCGACAAGAATGATGTAAGGTCGCCTGTAGTGATCTGCGCGAGGGAAGCGAAATCAACCACAACGGATTTGTAGTCTTACTTTTCTTTTGTTTTCAGTTGCATCTTTTCTTCTACGAAAAACGAGTAATCTCCAAATGCATCCAGCAGTTTTTATTGAAGTTTCTTCGTTTCACAAACTGTGCATGCACACATTTGGAGGCAGCTGTTGCTTTAATGGCTTATTCATGTCGTCTTTTTTTCTGTTCATTTTGAAGATGACTTGAGTCCTCGGTCATAGAGAACTGTAATTAATAGGCCTCATATATTGTTTAACGAGAAAAAAGATCTCTAACCTTTGTGTGTCTTATGCGCCTTCGTTTACAACGGGCTTTATTCGCATTTTGGAGATGCATAAGGTGTGACTTAAGTTCAATGCGGACCAGGGTACTTCACAAGCGTTCATTGTTCAAAAACTTTAAAACAACCTGAACAATACTTTCAAGCTTAAGATGCTGCGATCACGGCACGCACTATGCAAGTATGATGTACTAAAGAGTGCAGCTTTCCCACAAAGTGTGAGCAATATTCCTGCAATGCGCTGTAGCTCGCGCTATATTCCTGCGCATGATTTATGGGCAAGTAATTAGGCACGCTAGAATTGTCATCTGTGCGTTTGTTCGTTGCTATTAATTTTCGATTATCGACCTCTGACGTCGCAGTTACTGTCGTGGTCGTCATGTTTATTGCTGTTAGATCATAGTGGTATAGCTCAAGATTTTTGGAAATTTATCCATTGTTGAAGTTTTCTTCTATTGTATGAAGTTTTTAAAATTGGGTCTGTAATATACCTCTTTCCTCTACTGTGCACTAACTCTGGGCAAAATAATTAAAATATTAAACAACTACATTAATCAGTTACTTCATATCTTAAAAGAAATCCATAGATATGTGCTTATGTAAAATTTGCACATGATCCTTATCGCGCATCCTAATTCTGGCTTCACTAGCACAGTCAAGCCATGATTAGGCTGCGCAAAAAGCAATACGCGTTTCTGGTCATTACTGACTCGGGGAACTAATAAAGGTAACTTAAAATTTTCTAGCTGGTCCCGCCGCGGTGGTCTAGTGGCTAAGCTACTTGGCTGCTGACCCGCAGGTCGCGTGTTTGAATCCCGGCTGCAGTGGCTGCATTTCCGATGGAGGCGGAAATGTTGTAGGCCCGTGTGCTCAGATTTGGGTGCACGTTAAAGAACCCCAGCTGGTCGAAATTTCCGCAGCCCTCCACTACGGCGTCTCTCATAATCAAATGGTGGTTTTGGGACGTTAAACTCCACATAACAATCAATCAAATTTTCTGGGTATTTTAACACAAAGGTTTTTTTTTTAATTTCGCCCTACTGTGAATGTATGAAGGTCTCTTTAGTTGTGTCTTTTTCAGACCAGCGAAGAATCAATTGTGAGAGTGCCTTTATGCTCTCAACAAATTTCATTGTCTTCATCGTCCGCGTGTTCACTGTGCACCGAAAGATTAATTACGAGCACTCCATACTAGTTAGCACCGTTGAGAATAGTCGCAGCAGTTAACTAGAGCATTCAAGAACTTCCGATCAAGTTCAACAGAATTTCGGACAACTGGTCCACATGTTCATCGAAAGAGACATGCAAACTAGAGAGGACGAGCCTCAATTTAGCGCCCAATAAAGCCGCCTGTCACTAAAAGGGCACTTAGAATTCAGAAATAAGCGATAAAGTTTGTACATCTACACCTTTCGATACACCAAGTTGTGCTACCTGCTAACGAAAACAAGAGAACGGCTGGTCAGTCATCGCATAACAAGTCAAATATCCGAAGTAGACCCCCCTATAGGCGACCTCGAAATATCGAAACGTTCTATCGAATATCGAAACATTCGAATATCGAAACGTTCTAGCGTCAACTACACTTTTCGCCACGTCGAGTATGCAGTAAGATCAGGACTAACTAACATTCGGGTGAGTACTGATACAGAATGACGCGGCTTGCGTCTACCGATAGCTAGGAAGAAGACGACGAAGCTCTTGCTGCTTGGCTAAGTAGCTCTGTCTGCATTTATCGTTTATTTTTCTTTATACTACGGCTCAGCACTGCTCAAGACGTCGGACGACTCGAAAAGGTACCTGCCGTATCGGCGACCGACGGGTGCTGCGCAGCCCGCCGCGTCGAAATGTGCTAGAAGAAACGAAACAAGCATCGGGGATAGCGCCGCCATGACCTCCCAAGGTGTGACACCAGGTCAGAAGCACCAGCTGGTTGGCGCAAGCATACCTGACTGCAAGCGACAACACAGCGTTGAATCAGAGGACGAATCAACTGTCGTCGGGGACCACAACGAGGCGAACCGCACAGATCAAGACATGGACGAGGGTGGTTTCCGCCTTGTGCGACATCGCAAAGACAGGACGGTGGGCATTCCTGTGTTAATTGCTCCAACATCCGAAGGAGCTAACTTGAGGCAAGTGAATCCTATTCACCTATACTCGGAAATTGAAACGATTCTCGGTGGAGCCCCAGTTAAGAGCCGTTTCACAGCACAGGGAGCCCTGCTCTTGGATATAGAGACAGAACACCAAGCTAATATGCTTCTAGAGACCAATACTATCTGCGGACTTGTCCATATCTGCACGTGTACCACACAGCTACATGAAAAATACATGCATTATAAAAGGGGTCCCAAGATGGTACTCGGACGAAGAGCTGCTAACCTACCTGAGACCTCAGGGAGTATACCACGCAAGAAGAATCATACGACGAGTCCAAACCTCATCCAACGAATGGGAATCAAGGCGCACTGACTCTGTAGTTCTCACATTTGCTCCCAATTCGGAACGTCCAGAGAAGATCAACCTTGGCTTCACCAGACACGAGTTGGTAGACTACGTGGAGACGCCACCACGCTGTTTTAAATGTCAGCGTTTTGGACATGTTGCTAAGCACTGTCGTGGGGAACAAAGGTGTAAGCGCTGTGGGGGGCCTCATGACTTTAAGACGTGTACAAGTAAAGAAAAACTTGTGTGTGCAAACTGTGGCGGTGACCACCCGAGCTAGCTACGGCCGATGTCCAGCACGAACAGCGGCGCAGCGAAGAAATAAGACGTTTGTCCTCGGCCCGAAGACTGTGAACGAACCATCGCTCACAAAGAATACGTCCGGCGCGCCACAGCATGGCGGTTCGGATAACGCGTACGCAGGAAATTTTCCGCGCCTAAACCCGACAAGAGCTGGTACTGAGTCAACGCAAGTGCTCAACGCTGGTGAGAAATGTATCACGAAAGAGTCCGCCAAGCGCACCTACGCTGATGCACTGAGCCCACATCAAGTACCATCTGGAAGCCAACAGCAAGAAAACCTCGAGCACGTTATTCGCGCTCTGTTCACCGCGCTACGTTCACACGTCGCGAAGATGCCTGCGAGTTCAACGAAGGATATGTTGGAAGCAGTCCTGGCTCTAGAGTCAGTGTTACTTTGCTCTGCTTCCACAAACACACAGTAGAATAATGGCAATGTCTCGCCCACCTGGTCTATTTCGTCCTTCAAAAGTGCCCTTAATAATGCAATGGAACTGCGCCGGTCTTCTAAAACGCCTGTGCGAACTCAATCTTTTCCTGCGCGACATTCCAATACCGATTCTAGCCCTCTCCGAAGCCGGTCTACCGAATGCAAGGACGCTCCCAGGGTACACCCGACACGGCAAACCGAGCATAACGTCGTTTGCAAATGGAAGCGCAATGATATACATAAGGCGGGAAATCCCTCACGTCGCCTTACCAGTGCAAGACCTCTGTTCCAACTCACTGGAAGTCGCTGCTGTGCAAGTGTGCCTGGGAAACCGAAAACTGAGTGTGGTATCGGTGTACATAAGCCCACGAAAAAAGGTCTCTATGGAGACTTTCCTAAAGGACCTTTGCACTCGATGTCCCGCTCCTCGAATAATCTGTGGTGATTTTAACGCGCACCATCCACTCTGGGGAGATAAGAGTGTAGATTTTCGAAGCAAGGAACTTCTAGCAGCTGCGGATGCTGCCGACTTATGTGTGGCGAACGATGGTAAACCTACATTTTTTAGGCCACCAGATTCATGGAGTGCAATAGACCTTGTACTTCACTCCACGGACCTTCTGGTATCATCGACCACGGCTCCGGACAAGATGGGCAGCGACCATTTCCCCATCTTCACCAATATCCTGGGATTTCGAACTGCTGGTCGACAATTCTGCAATGTAACACGCTGGGACACCTACAGAGAAGTGTTGGACAAATCCACTGGTGAGCTCTTCGCAGATATGTTGCAAAGCAAGCGATCAGCAACTTCATTGCTGAAACTGCCCGACCATTTTTCTGCTCCTGACTTGAAATTGAAGAACCTCTGCGCAGCACGTAGATGGGCGGAGCGGAAATTAATGAGAACAAAGGGAAATCCGTCTGCGAAAACCGAATATAACAGGATAAACGCTGCGATTCGTCGCCATACAAAAAATTAAGACGAAATCAATGGGCCGCCTTCTGTGAGAGTTTATCAACGTTTACGCCCTTGACAAAGATATGGACAGTAATAAATAGTCTTTCTGGGAAGATCCGAACACACAGGCCATTCGAAGCACTCGCTTTGAAACAAGGGATAGATTTGCAAACCCTTGCAGAGGATTTTGCAGACGTGTACATATCTGGTAGATCAGCAGGAGCGGCGATTCCTCTGTCACCCCAGTTTTTTCACACGATGGATACGCCAATTCACCTTCCGAGAGCTGGATATGGCACTTAGCAAATTAAGAAGACGCTGTGCCGTGGGTCCCGATTTGATCAGCAATCAAATGCTGACAAATCTACCATATGAGCGAAAAAGGGCCCTTTTGGACATATTTAATCATGTCTGGAGCACGGGAGAGATTCCAATTGTTTGGAAGACAGCTTGGGTGGTGCCAGTCTTAAAGTCCGGAAAGGATCCTGCGAGCCTCGCGTCATATCGACCGGTATCTCTTACATCATGCGTATCTAAGCTGATGGAAAGATTAATATGTACAAGATTAACTTGATACCTTGAACAAGGAAGACGATGGCCATCATGTATGACCGGATTTCGCCCACGACTGAGTGCCCAGGACAGTGTTTTGGACCTATTAAGCC